TATCATTGGGATGCAACATGGGCAGAGGGATTTCTTCTATTCTGTTCTGAAGCTTTCTACAATCACGCTTCATGTGTCCGGCTTATGGCAATAGTGACACACACATTCCTCCCATATTACTATTGACCCCCCTCCTTTTGGCCACTTCCAAATTGTGATCGTCCAGATTCATAGTCATTCTTTTGACTGACAGAAGCACTACTAAACTGAACCGGTGGGTACCTTTTGTGCGAAGTACCCTAAAAACATCTTACAATGAAGAGATCTCTGGACTGGCTAGAACCTGAGATTTGCATTCTCAAATTCAGAAGGAAGACCTACAAGAAAACTCATGACTGCCATTTGCTCCCGTTGTTTTTGTTGAACTTGACATCAGCACTGAAGGGTAACAACATGTTCAACACTTCATAAGTCTTCTTAAACTCCATAAAATAAGCTGTAAGAGACTTATCTTGTTTCTCTGCACGGTAGAATGCCTTACACACTTCATAAATATGAAAACATTCCTCTTTCCAGAATACAGAAACTCCAATAATCTTCAGTTCTTTAATAAACTCACAATGATTAATTAGGCCAGTACCTCACCGTTAATAGAGTTCCGTATTGTAGAATCAACCGAGCATCATCCCGGCCCACGTCTTTTTCGAATCATCCTCAGTGGATCATCAGTCATATGATCATCTTATCAATACTCTGCAAATACAGTATATAGTTTTACGCCAATCATGGTAATTAGTTATACCAATGACTTATGTTCTATAATTTTCGACATCGGTATCATTTCCATCACTGGCTTTGTATCAGACATGTCTTAAAAAGATGATAATCCCAATGACACACCACCAAACGGTTAAAACAAAGCAAACTAACTAATTTCAATGACACACCAAATCAATCAACAGTCACCACCAACCAGAGGCCACAATAAGCAAAAACCAATAACCAAACGAAACAAAGTGCCGAAAGATCATAACTAAGTCCTCGAAATATCCAAACAGATAGCAATGAACCATGTAAGATTACCCAATCCCAGGAAATGTGCTGTAAAAGTACCGACGAAGCAGACAAGAGAATTGGAGAAGAAGTCAACTATGCACGCGCTCTCACGCGCCAGCGCGTGTTACTGTTCATCGGAGTTTCAGTGTGCGCATGGAGCTCACGCGCGGTGATTTTAAAGGCTGAACTCAGGGTTTTGCCGTCAGAGGCTTCTGAATCTCCTTGGGTGGCGGTGTTGAACAAATCTCAACCTAAATAGGTTTTCCCAATTTGAAACCCAAACCCTAATTTCCCAATTTTGAAACCTAAACCGTAATTTCCCAATTTTGAGACCCAAACCCTAATTATCTTTTAAGGCTCTGATACCATGTAAATAAACGTATGAATATTCACTCTTCTTATTATTAGCTAAGAATACATATTTATATCACTTGTAGTGTTCTAAACTAGGTAGGTGATCACTCAAATTAGGATAGAAGTGATCCATAATCAAGGATTTTAATGTGATCCCCATCATCTAGGAAGTCATGTACACTATAACATAACCAATATAACGTGGAAGGTGAGTTTAGTTTATGTTATATTATTTAGCAAATTCATATTTTATCCTCTTAATAATTTGTTAAATAATATTATTTAAAATTTCTTGAAAAAAATAAAACTAATTAGTACAATATAAAACAACAACTAAACGTGCCGTTACCATGTACGAAGTTCTATTAGAAAACATTATATATCTTGTATTTATAATTAATTGTCAGAGAAATTTAAATTTTGCTGTGACCTATGCTAAAATGTGTCATCAAAATGTACTCGTATGAAGACTAGAGAGTTGATTCTGATCCTTTTTTCTTTCTTTTTCTAATGTACGTTTCGAAATTTTGAATATGGGAAAGATCTTGTAATTACAATAAAGCAATCTTGTTAGTGTATATATACACATTGGCTATATATATACATGAACTGTATTGATTATTTCTTCTTTATTGTTTGATCATGATGTTTAATATGCTTCTGTTTTCCCATTTTGGTTCAATTTTATGGTCTGGGGTGCCTCTGCTAAATGAAGAAGGTGGAAGAGTTCAATCCAAGTGCTAATGAATTCTCCCAAACTTTTGATGGTTCAACAATGGATGTCATTGCCACAACTACACAAAGCCCGTTAACAATGATGGGCAAAGCCCAATGGAAGTGGCCACTTTTGATGATGAATGAACCACAACTTTAATAACTTGAAGAATTCAATGATCTTCTAAAGGGAAAAACCTATATCTTGTACTTTTGTTGTGTGTGTGTGTGTATATATATATATATATATTATAGATTAAGTCTAATTTTCTTTCTAACCCTATTCTATCTAATTTTGCTCACAATCTCTAAGTTAGATTGCTTATAGTTGATGTATCATATAAGGTAATTATGTTCAATAGGTGCAGTAGATGAGTGTATTTTTCTGGTGATCAAAGAATAATTATATCAAAATAGGATATGGGACTTGTATTTTATGCAACATTTTTTTTTTTTTTTTTTTTTGTTACCGGGCATGTCTAGGCCAGCTTACGTGTATCTCCTAGTCCCTACCCCGAACAAGGCTTCCGAAACAAAAAAACTCTACTGTCCGTGACCAATAATATTAGATCATTCTTGTGATTTGGACCTGAGACCACCAGGAGCAAACCCCTTGGCCCTTAGCCTTTACCACTTGGCCCCACATTCAGTTTGTCCAATGAAGGGTTCTAACATTGGGATGTCCTAGCCTTGCATGCCATAACATACACAAATCTGAATTTGTAAATTTATTCATAACAGTAGTAAACTGAACATCATCAGTAGAACACTTATTAACCATAGCTGTGATAGGAGTATTAAAGGTTTCTGAAACCTGACCAGCAGCAGGGAGAGACGAAACTGAACTTGATGACTGATGAACCAGTGGGCTAACAAACTGTGGCAGTTAAGCTGGTACAATCCATCCTTTACTGCACCTTGAAGAAGAACAGCTCTACTACACTTATCCTTTATCAAACAATGGTTAGAATGAAACTCCACTATGACACTGTTATCTTTAGTGATTTGAGAAATACTTAATAAGTTCTTTGCAATGTTGGGAACACATAGTATATTCTTAAGATGAATCAATCTAGATGTGTCATAAGAGGGTACCAGCATCATACCTGTATGAGTAATAGGGATGGATTCCCCATTCCCAACTTGCACCTTTGAACTTCCTGAGTGAGCAGTTTTGAACACCAAGTTGGAACCATCTGCAGTCATGTGATTGGAGGCTCCAGAGTCCATATACCAGGACTGATCTTGTAGAGTTTGTGGAAAGGCCACTGCTTGATAACAGGTTGCTGAAGATTGAGGTGCTTCATTGGTAGCCATTTTGGGTGTAAGATTGATAGACTTACCAATATTAGTTGAGGGACCAGGACAGTATTGTGGATATTGTACTGACTGAAAGTTTGCAGAAGGTGGTGCATTTGACTTAGACATAAGAGGAGTGGAATAATCATGAAACTCTGTAAAGTTGTTGTGAAAAGCATTGGCAGAATGTTGTGTGTAGTGTGGAGGTTGTGTGTAATTTGCTGCAATTAAGGCTTGTGCAGGTTCAGTATTGTGTTCAGCTGTGACAGTTGAGGAATGACCTATTGGATTGTACAGATTAGGCTGCATTTGAGAGCTGTAAGAATTGGCAGCAAAACCTTGATACTCCTGATCAAATCGGTGGTAACATTGGATAGCAGAGTGGCCTGATTTACCACACACTTGGCATACTAGTCTCGGCTTGAAGTATCTTCTACTTCTGCCTCTGCCTCTTGCCAAGTTGTTTTGAAACTGAAAGTGTCCAGCAGAGTGTTGTGTATTTGGTGAGTAACCAGTTCTTCCATAACTTGCTCCTTGATAATTGCTTTGTCCAGAATCAAAACTGCTTGCTGCAGGATATACTAACCCAGGCATTGGACCAGAGTTTGTAACATTAAGATTGGGGCTGTGTGAGTGTCCATGACTACCAGCTTGACCATGAAATGGTACAAGCATTCTTTGACCAGACGAGTTAGTCAGAGGATTAGAGTAGTTGGTGGTATTTTCTTGCTTGGAAGCAAACAGGGCAGAGTTTAAGTGCTCATGAAAATTTGACAGAGCCGAGTGTTGTGTCGAGTGTTGTCTTTCCAGTCTCATTTCATGCTTGTGAAGCATGAATTGAGCTTGTTGAATGGTTGCATTGCTACTATTATATGTCAGATTTACCACAATAGCGTCGTACTCTGGTCCTAGACCATCTAGTATATACAAGAGCAACTCTTCTTCTCCAATGTTAACACCACTTGCTACTAACTCATCCCCTAATTCCTTCATTTTCAGGACATACTCATTAATGCTTAAAGAGTCCTTTTTTGTGGTCTGCAACATATTTCTTAAGTGAAGTGTTCTAGCCTTCGAAATTGACTGAAAATGCAATTCTAGTGTGTTCCATATTTCATACACACTGATACACTTAGCAACGTGTCTGAACATGGATTCAGAGATTGACGAAAACAACCAACTAACTAAAAAATGATATGTTCTTTTCCAGTTAAGGTACTTAGGGTTTTGTTTCTTCACTAATTCATCAGAATCAATACGCTTTTCAAAAAGGAACATGGATGGACAGATACTCTCACCAGTGATAAAGCTTTCGAGACCGTGTGAAGCTAACGCTTGAAAAATTTGCGACCTCTATTGATTGTAATTCTTCTCCACGAGTTTTACTGATATGGTAGGAAGTGTAGAGTGAGCAGCTGAGTTGTTTGCGTTTGCATTTTCAGTTGACTCAACTTCAGATTTTGACGAAACATCTGAGGAATCAAGATTCGAAGCCATTGACGCTGGTCTATGGCTCTGATACCATGAAGGATTAGCGACGGACTTGAAAAGAAAATAACCGAAAATGAATGAATTGAGAGAGAAAGAAGAAAGACTTTGTTTCTTATTCTATTATTAAAACAATGAGTTAATACAATATTAGTTACAGAAGACATTATATAGTCTGATACAAAAGCACACAAAACGCACCGTGTGGTGACAATTTTATTTCTTTACAAAAACAACCCTACTTAACTTCTAATCTTTGCAGAAACAACCCTGCTTCTTATACTTGTTTCCAATAATGTGTGTGTGAAAGGTTCAAGAGCGTTCTATTTTTACACAAGTTTTGACATAATCTTTGACATTTTAGATTAAAACATTTGAATGGTTGAGATTGTGTCTTAATTATGGTATTTTCAAAGTGTATTAATTATGTAAGTGTAATTTCATTGGATGACTCGTGAATTGTGTTATATTTTATGTAAAAAAAGTGGTGTTACCGAAACCTTCATATATATATATATATAATGATTCATAAAAAAAAAAAAAAAATCAAAGCATGATAAAGGTGTTAATGATTAGAGAGAACTAACAAAGATAGATCACTGATCTCTTCCAACGTGCAACCACGCTAAAATCGATAGTATCCTCTAGTCCAGACATTCGAGCCAAGTAATGCAATGCCGTCTTCTTGTTTTCATCACGCGCAATAGCCATCTCCGGGTGCCTCTCTACCAAATCTAGCGCAATATCTACCAAACAATGATCAAAATCATAAATAATATAAATTCAACTCTAATTTGTATCAAATGGATCCTACCCATCTTTAATTAAATGGTAAATGATCTCATGTAGTTGCAATTAATGGCACGCTATCTTGAATTACCTAAATAAGAAATTTGTAAATTTAGAGTGTCCTTACACCATAATTTTGTTACGATGAAAAAAATTAGAATAGCACGAAATTATTTTTTGAATTATTTATGTAATTTACCGTTTTCCTTTCCATCAAGTCAATCTCTACAATTAATGGTTATTAAGTTGAACATTTTTAAGATATGCATAGAGGTGGAAAATTTGGGCCGGGTTAGGCGGGTCAACCCTAACCCGGCCTGGGAAAATGAGGGTTAACCTTAACCCGGCTGTAACCCCCGGGCGGGCCGGGTTGCACAATGGCAACCCGCAACCCGGCGGGTTGCTATTTTGTCTCTTTTGCAAGAGACCCGGCAACCCGCCGGGTTGGTTGTGTGCAACCCGGCGGGTTGGCCGAAAAAAATAAAAAAAATAAAAATTTTTATTTTATTTTTCAAATTACCCCTTTACCCTTGAAATATAGCCGTTGAAAGGGTCTTTTTCGTCATTTCTCTTTCCCATTTTTTCCTATAAATTGGCCCTAAGTTCTCACATTTTTCTCACAACTCAAATTCTCTCATTCTCTCATATTCTCTAATCTCTAATCTCTCAATTATTCATTTATTAGTTTTTGCAATTTGCTCATATTTTAATTTTTATTAGTTTTTGCAATTTTTAATTCATATTTCCAATTTTCCAAATTCCAATTTCCATACTTCAATAAGTCTAATTTTTCTTATATTATAATTTTATTATATCAAAATTGAATTAATATTTGAAATGTTAACAAACAAAAAAATTGAATTGAATTATTGATATTAGAAAAGTTAATTAAAAACAATTATATTTATAATTATTTATTTGAAAAGTTAAATAAAAAAACAAAAAAAAAAAAAAAAGGAAAATCGGGCTAACCTGGCCCAACCCGCCACCTAACCCGGCGGGTTAGGGCTGGCGGGCCGGGCTGAGCCAGCCATTTTGGAGAAAATGGCGGGCCTAACCCAGCCTGCCTTTGTTGGCGGGCGGGTTAGGCCCAGCCCGCCAAACAAAGTAACCCGCCGCGGGCCGGGCCGGGCCGGGCGGGTTACTTTTCCACCTTTAGATATGCATGCCTTAATTTGTGGTGATGTTACTGTTTTGTACTATCATAGACTCCATCAGTTCTTTTGGTAACTAGATTTGCCTAATCATTTGTCCATTGGTGGTATAAAATATAAATCACAGTGCTGCTTAGAAATTAGCCCAGAAAAAATAGTAAGACTTACCATACAAACCATGGTTTAGCAGACTGATAAGCAATTCGAAGCGATCGTTATCATCTAATAACTCATCTCCAGTGGCTTCATAAAGGTATTCCACCATCTCTTTTTTTCCCATCAGAGTTGCCTTGTGAAGCGGTAACATGTCATTATTACCTCTAATTTTTACTAAGTCTTTATTCTTCTCCATCATGGCCTTGACAATTTCAACTATTCCGGATGCAGCTGCAAGAAAGAAGGCCGTACTGCCAGCATTATTTTTTATGGCTAAATCCTCTCTTTTCATTTGTTCGAGCAGCTTTTTCACAAAATCAGTGCTCATTGCTGCAGCTGCAATATGGAGAGCAGTTTCCCCTTCCTTTGATAGCTTAGCCGTTATATAAATTTTATCTTCCTTGAAAATTTTTTCAGCTGAGTTCCAATCACCTGCCAGTGCAGCCCGGTACAATTTGAAATGCCTATTTCTCGTTTCAATTTGATCTGTCAAGGCGAAACAAGAACAAGTTTATACATAAACTTTGTTGGCTAATTTTTCAGCTCAATCACTAACACAACAACACAATCAATTTTCCAGGATTTAGAATGAAAAGTGAGCTCGGGAAATGAAGAACACAACCTGAAAATTTTAGCTAAAACAGAGAACAAGTATAGTAGTAATTTTGGAAACTAAAAAAGAGGAAAAACTGTGGAAAAATTCCAGCTTTTTTTGCTGGATTTTAATTCCCGTTTCTGCACTTTTCCTAACAGCCTTTTTTGCTTCTTTTCATCTATTTTTTAATCTTCGATGACCATTTGAGATATCCACATTAACAATGGAATGATCTAGGTATGTATATGAACTATAATATTTTTTGAAGGCCCAACACAGGGTTTCTTTTACATCACATGCTTTAACTCAAGTTAATTAAACTAAGGACTACAAAGGCACATTAACTTTAACAAAAGTTTTTGTTACATACATATGCTTCTTCCATGTATCAGTCTATTTAGAGATAACCGTGTGTAAGCTAGAAAAGTTATATTAAATTAAATCTGATGAAATACAGCACTTCATTTACTTGAGAAAATGAGGCCGTAAACATGAACTGATTAAGAAAGGGATGCTATAGCCTACAATCATATAATAAACTGGCTTACCTTTTGAGAATGAAGTAGAATTTATTACCGGCACAGTTTCATCTTCTTTCGTTGAAGACTTAATTTGTTTTTCCTTAACATTCCCACCTAATACCATTGAGATCGAAGACTCCTTTGAGACATCCACATTAAACTCTGATGATTCAAATTAAAAGAAAAAAAATATATAGTTACCTAAATTTTGATTATTGGCTACACGTAGGATTTTGATAGAACAAAAAGCATGTTGTGATTACCGACTCCCCCCAAACAAGAGAAATTAAATACAAAAAATTAAACTTGAAATAATTAATGGACGACCCCATATGATATTAACAAAAACTTAGCAAGTTTATATGTGACATTTGCCCTTGGAAATTAAAATATTAAAAGGGTAGTCAGAGTCAGAAAACGCANAAAAAAAAGTCATACTTTGTTAGCCCTCTAATTCTATATAATCCCATGTGCCATTTAGGGTGATGTTGGACTGGTCGTGGCTGATGCAATGTTTAATTTTCAGGCATCGATGGAAGCCACTGAACTCTATTGCATATTTTCAGTAGTATTTCTAAATTATGTCTCTTGCTAGCTGTTCTGTTATGTAAACTCATCATTTTGCATTGTATACATATACATATGCCAAAAGTTATTGTGGTTTTGAGAACTCTTACTAAATATATCTCATAATCTTTCATGTAAAACAGGTAGATTAGATGTTTGAGCTAGATCAAATATCAGTATTAATAGAAAGGACCTAAACTAATGAAGCACTCAGTATATTGACTACAAATGTTAATCAACTACAAGACGAGCGATGCAATTAACCTTCAACCTTTAATTAATTTGTACAACAATTAAACAACGATAAATCACGAACTAGTTTGGCATTTCGTTCATCAATCACAGGTTTTAGCGACTGTTTTTCCTTATTATTATCAACCTTCAATCTTCACTCGATCTCTTCCCTAGGTTTTTTGTAAAATTTCTTCAATACTGTAAGTATTTTTGTCAAATTATGAATTCAATGTGGTGATACTGATTTTTGATGTCATAACATCACTTTGTTAATGCACAATCATTTTATATTTTTATAGGCGTCATGACACTAAGTGTTCGTGTGATGACACTCGCCTAGCCAGATTTCTTTTGTACATGTCTTGTCTCTATTTGATGTTAGAATTTTATCCTTATCTGAGATATGTGTAAATGGTCCTTGTACCCTTATAATTAGCTCATTAGGTGTACTAGAAAATTTGTTTTGCTTAATTTATATTGGTCCCTAGAAAGTTTGGTGAAAACTTTCTCAAAATAGCTAAACACAAAAAGTTCTTTTTGGTTGGCTGTCCCTTGCATTGGTGCTCAAGTTTCTTTATATTTTCTACTCCAATGCATTTTATTTCAAGCCTAAATATACCTTTGAAAGTTCTCTGCATGTTATGTTAGATTATTATGGAATTAGGATAGAATTAAAATAATTAGGTTAAATCCTTTTATAATTATGCTATTATCTAATTAGAATATCTCTTGAATTAAGCAATTAGAGTCAATTAGAATAATGTGTAACGCTATATGAAGCCTAAACCAATTAGGGTTTGACAAGCAATAATCAATAAAGTTCTCTTTCCCTTAAACTTTTAATGCTCATTCTTCTTGGAGGTTCTGTTTCCTCATATAAAACAAAAACACTATCCTAACAATTGGTGCTCTCGTTCCCTTTCCATGGTTGACCCTTCTCGCCTAAAGCTTTGGATGAACTTGTCTCTCAACATGGGGCCAAATTGGATGCTCAAGAGGGCAAACTTGATTCCCTAGAGGTCTTTTGAAGGCTATTACTCTAAAACAGACTGCCATTGACACCAAGCTAGAATAAGGACTATAACAGAAGAAGACCATGGGGGACAGTGATGCGAGTGGCGATGGCACTCCCTCGCTCGGCTCAAGTTCGTGTTCTTCTGGGTTTGCACCACCTTTTAAGCCTTTCCGATTGGAGGTGCCCCGCCTTGATGGCACAGATCCACGCGGCTAGATGTTTAAAGTCGAGCAATTCTTTGATTACCATAATATCCATACCAAGCAATAGTTAATGATCTTTTCCTTCCATATGGATGGGTCCGCTCTCTCATGGTATCGCTGGATGCATTCTAATAGACAAATCCGTTCTTGGAGTTCTTTCCTGCAGGGTTTAGATGTTCGTTTTGGGCCTTCGGAATTTCTCAATTACTAGGGGCAATTGGCCAAACTGACTCAAGTAGGTTTTGTAGTCGCTTATTAAACAGAATTTGAGTAACTCTTTAATCAAGTTTCTAGCCTTCCAGCTAAGTTCCTTCTAAGTTGCTTCATATCAGGGCTCAAATCGGAAATCCGAAAGGACTCACACCCTCAGCCACACCATGAGTCTTGCCCATTTGCAAGAGGACAAGCTATAAGATCTACACCTATACTTGCAATCTGTTGGTCCCATATCTTGGGATCCTAATAAATCAGCTCCTAATGTTCCTTCAGCATAGCAAGCCCTTTGCCAACACCATACCAATCAGGTTCCTTGCCTGTTAAGCGACTCACGGTGGCACAAATGCAAGAAAGGCACGACAAAGGTTTTTGCTGTAATTGCAATGAGCACTTTCAACCTAGGCATTGCTGCAAGGCCAATTTCTTTCTCTTGCTTATGGAGGAGGATGATGATGAGCACGAGGATGAACCACGATAACTGTTGTTGATGGTGTCGCACCTTGCAACCTTGAGGATAAGGTTGAGCCAGAGGGGAAGGCAATGTTAGGATTATTTTAGAATTAGGATAGAATTAAAATAATTAGATTAAATCCTTTTATAATTGTGCTATTATTTAATTAGAATATCTCTTGAATTAAGCAATTAGATTTGAATTAGGCAATTAGAGTCTTTTTAGAATTAGAATAATGTGTAAGGCTATATAAAGCCTAAAACAATTCGGGTTTGGCAAGTAATAATCAATAAAGTTCTCTTCCCTTAAATTCTTAATTCTCATTCTTCTTGGTGGTTCTGTTTCCTCATATAAAGCAAAAACACTATCCTAACATATTCTTTGAGGTTTCTTTTGTTTTGAGTCAGGTTTCATAAGCTTGGTAGGTTTACAAATACCTTTGTTATACTTTGTTTTATTCATGATTGAAACGTTGTTTCTTGTTAATGCTTGACGGAGTTTCAAGCTTTTGGAGCTGAAGTGTGTCTTCGATGTTGAACCTTGAGAGGAGCTTAAGGCTGACCAGGTGGTCTCGTGAATTGAAGCTAGATGTGGCAGTTTGAAGTTAAACCAAAGGGTGAAGTTTGAAGTGTTGATATAACAGGGAGTGTTTTTCAATTGACGCTTAACTTGGACTTTGTAATTGAACCATAAATGTTTATCATAGTGGATTAGCTTTGTTTGCACTTGGTCCCATGGATGTAGATAGGTTTCCGAACCATGTAAATTTGCTTTGCATGCTTTACATTATGTCATGAATGTTTTTGTTTGTGTTGATGATGAATGAGCAACCATTAAGAACAAAATGAACAAGATTAATCCATTCGGCATAAGTTTAATCAACTTGGTAAAGTGATTAAAACATTCAAACACTTTCTGTGGATCAATCCTCCCCGTTACTGCATCTTTGTGGTGCTTGTTTAATTTGTGCTTGATTTAACTAATCTTTTATTCTGTTAGAGGATTGGTTGTCACCTCCTTGATATGTACCTATAATAATTTTAATCAATTTCTCATTTATCAGCTGATGGAAATATGATAATTAATTCGAAATGCTAACATTAATTAATTAAAAAAAAAGTCATAATATTACAACTAGTGTGGGGAGGTCTTTGGATGGGGGACTAGGGTTTTTCGTAAAACTTGAGAGGAGGTGGTGGCAGATTGCTCTGTGAACATTTAACAAACGGATGGACAATTTTTCATTGGAGGATAAGTATCACATGTAAAAGACCATAAAGAGGGGAGAGTTTTGCTTTTAAGTTACTAATTAATTGATTAGGATGTTAAGAGAAATTAATATATATATATATTTTGGAAAAGGTAAACTATACAGAAACTAGGGGCATACCCTAGAAGAGATCTAAAGAAGACTAAAAACAGATGTAACCATCTTTTTGGACAAAAGAATGGGAAAAAAGGCCCAAAAGGGAGCACACAGGCTCCAAACCAAGGGGGAGAAGAGCAGAGGTGTCCTGACGGAGCTCACAGGCTCAAACCAAACAGAGAAGAGAAAATGGGAACATGCGCCCGACAAGAGTACACAAGCACAGAGCAAACAATATATTTGCTGTAGCTATACGTAACATTTAAAATTTATCATTTCTCATGCATATAGAACATTCATAAACATAAACAAAAAAGTCAGTCCAAAGTGACCGATTGATGTGGGATATGTTATAGCTTCTTATTTTCATTGAGGATTCACTAGGTGACATTTTTTCCTGATTTCTCCTGCATTTGCAGCTCCAGTGCTTCCCAACTTCTTAATAGAATCAGCAAAAGCCTTGAAGAAACCTTTTGACTTCTAAAACTTTTTCACTTTCTTTTCTGTGTTTTTATCAGTGAGCAGTGCGACATCAAATTGCAATAGGCCCTTGTTCTGGAGCAGAATATTGAAGTAATTGCCATCAAATGAGGAGGTACTTTTAGGATCAAGTTCTACAGTTGTGGCAGGATTAGTTGGAATGGGTGGGCATTGATCTTTTAGGGTTTTGGCTTAAGCTTCATCTAAGGAAGGATCAGTATCGCCGTTACTGGTGAACTTGTAAAGCCCATTTTAGAATGTTCCACACAGAGCAACACCAATGGTATGGCCACCTACCCTTATTTCAGTTCACAAAACTCTTGAATCTTTGTACGTTCTTGCATTGTGTTATTGATGGAACTCAAATAAAAGCATATGACATTAAGTTTGTAAATTAAATAATTATACCTGATAGAGCCACAAGATCGTCATCATTAAGACCTTTATTGGCAAATAGTTTCTGAAGTGTGGTGTAGTTTGAGAATGTTGAAGGGAGGTTTCCATTGGCTTCAGATACAAGGAAAAGATTGCCATCTTTTCTTCTAGTGAGCACTTCCCACTGCAAATAATTAAAACATTATTTGCTTAACTTAAGCCTTAAGCTGTAGTTAAATAGACCGTCAATATGTGTAGCTCTCCCTTGATAATCAAGCAAGTGGCCAAGGCATGTGTAACTAGGTAACGATTAACGACCACAATACATTATCTAGATTTGTTTATGACGGGTTTTAAATGAAAGTTATTATCTAGATGTGTTTACAAGGGGTTTTAAAAGAAGGTTATTATCTAGATGTGTTTACAAGGGGTTTTAAAAGAAGGTTAGCAACAGTTCCTTTTTTTTTTTTTTTTTTTTTTTAAATTTTTTGGTGATCTTCTCTTGATATGTGTATATGAAACAAAAGAAGTAACAATAGTTATAACATTTTTTTTTCCTTTTGTCTCTTATGCACCTATTAAGATGAGGGTGTGAGAGGCGAAAAAGAGCGTTTTTGCCATTTCAATTTTTTTTTTGGTTAAAAAGTAATATATAAAGAATAAGTCCCTAAAAAGAAGACCCTTACAGAATCAAGGTCCTTAGATAGGCCCTAGCAACCAAACAAGACAAAACAAGAGGAAAGGCATGGATTTACAATCCATAATAGCTACCTAACTGATCAAAGAGGTCTATTACAAAAGAAAAATGTTATCCTTACAAAAACTCATACAAAGAGGACTACAAAGTGACATCATCCAGAAGAAAAAAACAAAGAAAAAACGGAAAAAGAGAGAGAGAGAGAGAGAGAGAGAGAGAAATCATGAAAATCAAAGGTGGAAATTGTCTTTGTATGCCCCCTTTATATATGTCTTTGTAAAACTAGCATTGCTCATTACAAAAAGACCAGGAACACAAAAATTGCAGGGCTTCCGAAAAACAAATCAACTGCACAAGCTGTACAAAAAAAGAGCCACCAAAAAGAGCCCAAAACCCAGCACCACAAAAGCAATAATCCAGCGTAAGAGTGCAACTCCAAGCAAAAGAAACCCAGCTCTACAACTGCAAAATTCCTATCCACCACAAATGCACAAGCATAAAGACCAGAGAAAAAAAGAGTAAAGGACTCATGTTGGAGACATCCAAAACTTGAATGAAAAATCTATGCAAACTTAAAGCAACCAAGAAACAACTATGCAAAAAAGAACTCTTCAGAAGAGAAAAAGGCAATCTCGCCAGCAATAAAACTAGACCAGCCAACAAGCACAGCAAAGCAGCAGCACCGAAAAGTCCAAACAGGCAACCGACTGAACTGAAAAAAAGAGCCACCAAACCAGTAGAGGCAATAGGCCTAGCACCCAACCAAAAGAGGACAGAAGCTTAACGCTAGATCAGACAAAAACCTAGAATCTGCACTAACCAATTATTAAAGCAGACCTTTGGGCAATTCGTCCAAATAGAATGCACAAACATAAGCCAGGGAAATTAACCCTCTATCGCCATAAAAACAACACCCAACAAAAACCAAATAAGCACCTTCTTGGGTAATTAAGAGAGAATATATATTCTTTTATTTTTAAAGTGCGTTTGGTTCGGGGAATATTTTATTGTTGAAAAGATATGATTACCTCCGAGATAGATTACCTTGAAGATTCCGGGGGAATGTTATACCAATATGTTTGGTTAGATTAGTAAGTATAAATAATTAATATGTTTGGTTGGGAAGAATAAAATATTATTAATAGAGGCTTTTACTGAATTACCCTTCCTTTTTATAATAATAATAATATTATTATTATTTAAATAAATTCATTTAACCCCCTATATTTGAGAATTTAGCTAAAATACCCCCAACAACAAAGTTTAAATTTTAACAAAATACCCCCATCTATCCAAGACCACTACCGGCTACCGGCTTCAGTCACCAAAAAAGAGCAACCAACGAGATTAGGCTAGCCATGTGCTATTTTGGCTGTTTTCGGCCAGATCGAAGGCACATTGATCTGGGCTGTTTCCGACCAGATTGAAGGCCAAAAACAGCCAAATCCCCATGGATCTGGTCGAAAAAGGCCACAATTGGCTGATCTATTCTAGTTGTTTCTGGCCAGATCCATGGCAATCTGGCAGTTTTTGGCTTTCGTTTTGGTTGAAAACAGCGAGATCGGCACATGGTCTGCCAAATCCCATCGGTTGTGTGTCAATATGGCGATTATTGCTGGTGGCCGATGATGGAGGTTGGCGACTGACAATGGTCTTTAGTGGCTGAGGGTATTTTGTTAACTTTTAAACTTTTTGTGGCTGAGGTGTTTTAGTTAAATTCTTAAATTTAGGGGATTTAGGTTATTTATTTTTGGTAGACATTTGAGTGCAATTATATCTAGAATGGTATTTAATTAAGGGCAAAATAGATATAAAAGCTCAATTAAAACTCGATTAATTGAGCTCGAGCTCGAATTCTACTTTTAGGTATCAAGCTCGAACTCGAACTCGATTTATCAGGTCAACCAAGCTCGAACTCGAACTCGAACTTGGTACTCTAGCAATTGAGTCGAGTTCGAGTATCCAGATACTCGGCTCGATTGACTCGATTTCACCCCTAGTTGGAAGCCCTATGAACAATTGACAAATGGATGGACAATTTTTCATTGGACAGATTTCGCGTGTACCAGAGTAACAAGACCGTAAAGAGAGGAGAGTTAATTTGCTCTTCAGTGTCTAATTTATTGATGAGAATGTCAACATAAATTAATATTTTTATTTTGAGATAAGATCATCACTTGTCGCGGGATATAAATATCCAAGGGAATTGCAATCAGCTGGCTAGCTTCTTTTTTCATTTACTATTCACTACGCGACATTGCTTCCTGATTTCTCCATCATCTCCTGTCAGCACTCCGATGTTTCCCATTTTTAGCATCGATTCAGCAAACTTGATGTAGAACAATTTTGAGTTCTGTAACGTTGCTACTCTGATTGCTGCCCTTAAATTTGTGAGCAGTGCAGCATCGGATTGGAATAGACCCTTCTTCTGGAGAAGGATTTTGAAGTAATTACTATCAAATGATACGGAACTTTGCGGATCCATTTCCACAGTTGTGACAGGATTGGCTGGATTGGGACATTGAGCTTTTAGGATTTCAACGTAAGCTGCATTAAGGGAAGGATCAGCTTCACCGGTGCCGTTGAAGTTGTAAAGTCTAGCAGAGAATGTTCCACAGTGAGCAACACCAATTGAATGGCCACCTGCACAAGGACGTTAGTTAAGTTCAGAATAATTGCATTTATTTAACTAGTAAGAACATACGAAATTTTCGTACCTGATAGTGCCGCAAGATCGTTAACGTCAAGACCTTTACTGTCAAATACGTTCATGAGGGTCGAAAAGTTTGAGAATGGCGAAGGGACGTTTCCGTTTGTTTCAGAAGCAAGGGAAGTATTGCCATCTCTTCTTCCAGTAAGCACAGGCCACATAGGCTTAAACTGCAATTAATTAAACCATTACATATTATGTTACTTAGATTTTAATTTCCATTGTTTTTAGTTCAAATTAATAAATAGTTAAGGCCAGGGCATACCGGCGGGATGGAATCAGAATCATGATCAAGAAATGGCAAGAAGGAAACGGAATCACGAGCAGTCAAGGAGAGAATATCAGCACATGAAACAACTCCAGGGCAGAGCTTCTCTACTTCGGTTTTAATTTCATCAATTTCAACAAAACCTTGCAGTGTTAGATTAGGTCTTGCATCCTTTTCAGCCTGGGTATTGTCAACTGCATCCAGCAATACAGAAGCATCGCAACCCTGCCATGCAAATTCAAATTCACAACGACATACTAAGTGTTAGTTATATATACATAAAATCATGCATAATTCATAAATTATGTAATATATATTTAGAACGTCATGTAGTTCTAAATATATTATAATGTTTATTGCCTGCAGTAATTGGATCATTGAGGCAATATGGACACATACACATACCCTAACAAAACAATCGTGGAAATGCATCCTAAGAAGTTTTGCACCCAAAGCAGGGTTAGTTTTAAGTTTGCTCCATGTGATGTTCCTCACAAGCACCTCAGCTTCTGGACATTTTGTCACGTAAAAGTTCATCTTCAACTTTGGTTGCGGCTGCTTTGCATTACAAACCTCAGCAACTCCAAACACGAGAAGAGAAACCAAGAAAACGAATATGCTATTTCTAGACATCGACATTTCTGCTCTTCTAGGGAAGACGAAAGAAACGAGCGATAAATCTAGCACCTGCTTGTACGTAATAGAATAGAATTGAATAAGAAGCGAAAAGGTGCACAAACTAACGGGCAAGAGCATGCTCTTTATAGGCAAGTAAATCAACAGTTGATGTGAGACAAAAACTTCAATTACTTAAATTGAAGAATAAAAAATTGAGGACAAGTTCTCCTCATCCCTAGCATGTGGGTTTGGTCAAATCAAATACTCAATTGTTTATTCATCCCAAAATCTTTCTCTCTGATGAACTGACTTTATCTCCGATTAGGCGATTAGTTTAATGGCTTAGCTATAGATCCTCATTACTCCGCCATGAATAGATATATTCAGGACACTTGCAATAGTGGTAAACAGCAGTGACGACCTTCTCATTTTTATTATAATTTTATCGGCTTAACGATGTTTATAGCCGTAGGATTGGTGATGAATCATGAAATTGAAGGCACAAATTCAATTTTTTTGGACTCCCAAATAATTTCAATAACAAGCTACGCATTTTTTTAAATATCATTACAACTCCAATATTATGGGCTTATCATTATTCTTAACTTACATTATCATTTACCTGATTTATTAATATAGGGAATATAGTAATCCATAAATATATAACACCGACTTAGAAATAATTTTTTTTTCTCTAAAATCCGGTTAGGGATCAAGAAAGAGAGGAATATGCCAGGCAGTCACTTGATAATCAAGCAAGCCCTAGGAACATGTATAGTTGTGTCTGATAGGTGTTTCAGGAAAAAAAAGATTAAGTTACCTGTGTAATAGTGTTGGAACCTTGATTTTTCGGTGACGGGTTAAACATAGCCCTAGGTTAATCAATTTGTTTGACTTTTAAGGTTGAATCTATGATATATTATTCCGTAGTAGAGATTTTTCATAATCTAGCTTAAATTTTGGATAAGTGTACTCTTGTACATATTTTTTAACGTATAGTCAGTTAATTAGGTAATTTATATTCTTTATTTTTATTTATTTATTTATTTTTTTTGTAACCGGGGTGTTCGAACCAGCTTGTGTGCACTTCAACTAATCCTCAGGATTCGTTAAACACTTTATAAGCCCAAAAAATCAAGTAACCCACAATATTATTATGGTAGGTGACCCTAAGGTTTAAACCCAGAAACTCAAAGAATGGAGCAAGCCTTCTTGATCCTAGGCCAACCCCTTGAGGTTTACATTCTTCATTTTGCATTATACTTGTAGAGATTTTTCAAAATCTTATTATCTTTGCATATTATTATGTTTTTTTGATTTCAATACATTGTATGAAAGGAGACGATGGATTTTATGTAGATATACAATACAAAACCTCATATATTTTAATGTGTTTTTGTATATTGTAAATGTTAAATATTTTCCTAAGATAAAGCATATATTGAGAAATTTTTTGACATAATGTATCTTTTAGTAATATATCATTGAATATCGATGCTTCTAATTAGGGAGCAATTAATCATTTATTTAATATATGGAGATGGAATAAATTAAATCTCCATTCATGACGCACACACGCATACAAACTTAGAAAACAATCAAACAAAGAAAATGATAAATTTTTTAAGGGTATATAGGAATAGGATTATTCCCGGAAATCTTGAAACGCACATGAAAATAATTGGATCAGCATTTTTTTTTTTTATATAATGAAAACAGTTGGAGTTTCATACCAACTAGACACACTCAAGCCTATTGATTTATAAAAAGGAGTAATCCTTCCATTCAACAAGACATTATTGGGTGAGAATTTAGGCCCACCTCAAGTTGTATCATGATAGAATTTCAGGTAGGCTCGACTCCTCACCCAATAAGGCCTTGTTGGGTGAGGAGTCAGGCTACCTCAAGTTCTATTCTGGTATCAGAGTCAGGTTCAATTGAGCTGAGTGCTTGACAAGCAGGTATGGAGATAGAGCAAGCAACTACCTTCATACCCATCTCAAGTTCTATCATGATATAAGAGTCACGTTTAGTTGAGTTGACGTTTGTTGGTTAGAAGCTTGCTAATTAAATATTTTTATGTAGACATGAAGATGTATAATAAACAGTTATAACATTGATATCATTAAGGAAAAATATTTGGATTATATTTACATTTTTTGAGATTGAAATTACCTCGGTGCAAAGTTGGCTAATTATGCAGAAAAATTTGCAAGAGTTTAGCACCATTTTGTCTTTTTAAGTTTAATTTAAGCAATTTTTTTTTTTTTTTATTGGAAAATACAAATTTCATAAAAGAAGAGAAACTATATAGAAAGTAGGGACATACCCTTATAAGAGGTCTAAAGAAGACCAAAACAAATGTACCCATTGTTTTGGACAAAAGGATGTGGACAAATGCCCAAAAGGGAAAACGTAGGCTCCAAACAAATGAGAGAGATGGGCATAGGCGTCCTAACGGAACTCGCAGGCTCAAATAAAACAAAAAAGAGAAAAGTGGCACATACGCTCGGCAAGAGTGTAGAGGCTAGGACAAATCATGAAATCAAGTAAGGAAATGACATTAACCCATTAAGCGAATCCTTTTTTAAGGAAATGATATTAACCCATTAATTGGTTGGCTCCCATTCATACCTTGGATACTTATGAACGAATAGAAAGATATGAAAACCAAAATAACAATAAACAAACAAACACAAACAATAAAAAGAAAGAAGAAATATGCATGCTTTTACCCTAGTTCACTCAATTAACATGCTATGTCTAGCTGAGTCAATATTATTGTAATCCTGCTTCATCGCTCTCGTTTACAATTAATGAATGTAATTTACTTTATTGTTTGCTATCACTCATTACAAGAGAAAAATATGTTTATATACTAGGTTTAAGAGATTAAAACATAGTATAATAAGGATTTTGATTCCTAAATCCTAAGCCCAAACCCAACAAAAAATTAATAACGTAAAGAAATCCTTCCGCAGATCTTCATGGACCCCTGAATGTGTTTGCTTGGCCCTAATGTTGAAGTAGTCGACAACTCCAACAACTTATTTTACAAATCATGAAATCAAAGTGCTATTTATGAATAGAAAAATTAATCAATAAGCTTAATTTTCTAAGCATATAATAATAAAATAATGCTAGCCTTACTCCCCCTTCTTACTCTCTTATGTAGTAGCTGACGTGGCAGCGGCCATCTCATATGCCAGGCCATCCAACTGCCACGTACGTTCCCCAAAAATTTTAAAAATTAAATTTTTGCTTCCCTAAATTTACAATTACTAATTTTTTTTTTAAATTAAATTTTATCCCAATGTTCTTAAAAATAAAATTTTTCTTTCCCTAAATTTGTAATTCCTAATTTAAAAAAAAAAAAAAATTTATGCTTCCAGGGTCCATCTCAGCCGTTGTAAATGGTGAATTTAAACAAGGCAATGAAGCTTGATTTCATGATGATCGATCTCTAGCTAGCTCGTAACAACTCAAAATTATGATATAGTGTAACACTCAGGTGTTGTTTTGTTTAGAATTTGAATGAAATTCAAGCCAGTGGAGACCACATTATATATAGCCATTCGAAAACCAACAATCCACCAGGAATCTTGTAGAGAAACTAACTAAAAAATTATCTTTCAAAAGCCAGTTCTCTACATGTTTCATTAATGTTGAAGATGAAGAACTAAATTAAAAGTTTAAGTCAGCCAATTATTGAAGTAATTCATTGAATATTCATGAATAATTTGCCAAATAATACGAATTTGTTAAGAGGATAATATGTGGGTGCAATAAAATTATACCTTCTTTTTCTTAATTATAAATCGATTGCTTTCATCATTTCATTATTAATTTTTATCTTTAGATGTCCAGTCAACATAAACTTATATATGTTGTGCCTCCGGGGCGGATCCAGCCAGGCCCGCGCCTACCCTCAAGTTTTAAAAAAAAAATATTAATATATAGATCCACAAAAATTGCTATTAATATATATACTCAGGTTCACTTTTGGATTTTAAAAAAATTAGAATTATTATACATATATCTAGGCCCACAAAAAACTTGTTATTAATATATATATTTCAAGTCCATATCATATTAAAAGTTTAAAACTCTCTCCACTCTTCTCCTGACTCCAATTGCTTTTTATGATTTTATTCCCAAAATTCTTTACTCTTTTATTCTCTCTTTCTCTTCCTCATGCTATTCAATCTTAAAACTTTTCAAGATTGAAATTGTTGAAGCTTTTACTACTAAAGGTGTCATAATTAGCTTTGTTTTCCGTTTTATCAGTCTTAGGTATATGTATTGCTCATTTTAATTTAGTTTATTTTAGGATTGAATCAATTTTTTTTTTTTTTTGAGGTTTTTTATTCTAATTTGAATGGAAAATACATGGATCTTGTGAGTTTCTTTTGTGTTTTGTGTCTAAGAATGAACTTACTTTCCTAAATTAAAACCTTAACTATATTTTAAAAGATGTTAATTTTTACCCTTCACCCACCATTTTCCTACATTTCAAATGTTACCATTCTGCTACTCAAAATAAATAAAGAAATTGAAGTTACTATCTATGTTTATATCAAGAAATTTTTTTTTTTTTTTTATTAATTCATATTAAAAGCCAACGCAATATTGACTTGATTTAAGTTTTGGTTAACTTTAGTTTAGATTAGGTCTTATCAAAGTCATGAAAATTTATATGATAATCTTTGGAAGCCAAAAATAAAAAAAATAAAAAGAAAGACGTTTCATCCCCCCCCCCCCAATGTTTACTTAAACACATTACTCAAATTTTGCTTCTCATGAATTTATTAAAGTAGGAAAGTATTGCGTTATTACATTATTTTCTTTAGGTTTGATATTGTATTATTATTATTTTTTTTTTTTGCTTAAGATTTGGTGATTTTTTAAAGTTTTACTAGTTGTTTAGCAAACAATGACGGAGCCGCAGAGGCCCTCCCTCGACAAAAATCCTTGATCGCCATTGTAATGTGCCTTATACAGAAATTAATGGTACG